CCTCCTCCCTGTCAACAAGGGAGATGGCTTGCTGGAGGAGATAGAGCTGCATGTGCATGGTAAAGTTTAATTCCTCCGGGACATCTCTCTCCCATCTTCTGCTACCCAAGGCCTGGTGCACAGTTCGTAAGTTCTTGGTGCGAGTAGGCACCAATGCCAGGATGGACGGGGCTATATCCACCACCACACGCCCGTTGATCCAGCGATCACGCCAGAAGAGCGGTTTCTTCCCATCGCCCACCGAGATGGACACGGGGCTGTCGAACACCTCTCTGGCCTCGATGTCCGGCACCAGCTTCAGGCCCTGCCATGGTCGCTCATCGTCCGTACGCCTTAGCCATTCCCAACGCACCCGAAGGGCGAGTGCTTGCAGTTTGAGATTCTTGATCCCCAACCCACTATAGCAGTAGGGGCGACATATGGTGTTCCAAGCAACAAGGCACTGCCCTCCATTAATTTTATCCTTGCCGGCCCAGAAGAAGGATCGGAGCCAGGAGTTAATGTCGTCGAACACCCACTGCTGCATATATGGAGCAAAGGTGATCCACTGGCTTGTCGGGAGTTTAATCCTTCACGGTTGCATATATTTTTGCCGGATTCGCTGGACCCGCAACGTAAGCCTCGAGCGACGGCCCAAGTTGGCCCTTGTGCGCCAGACATGAAAAAACAATTTGCCGGATTAGTTGGGCCCACAACGTAAGGGTCAAGCGACGGCCCAAGTTGGCCCTTGTGTGCGGGACATGAAAAATGGCCTATTAAGCGGGACGAAACCACGAATATCACCTTGCTTTATTAGTAGGTATAGATATAGATATAGATATCTAGACCTGGCACATCTGATTCTTATAAGAAATTGGCCATTGGGGTATGTGGTTGGATGGTTAGGAGAATAGTAGTATCCCCAGTTCACCAGAATTAAGTCCTAGACGCCGATGGTTGCATTTTTCTAGATTTATTTCAGACCTTCCGACGAGGTGCGTTCAATGGAAGAGGACGTTCTCGTCGACTACAAACGTGGTTGTGAAGACTTCGTCAATCTCAATTTGATGTGCCGGCTCAATATCTCAGACGTGCTTATAGGGGTAGGGTGTACGTGCATGCGTTCGAAGGGGTGAGTGTATGTGCGTCGTAGTGTGTTAAAAAACAGAAATTGGCCACCATCCTCCATTAGGCGTCTCTGGCGGGCAACCAGCCACCGCCACCTCCTCCTTCCCTCATGTCTCGTCTCACCGCCAGTAGAGGAGCCGCCGATGAAGTGCATGCCGACTCCGAGGAAAGTGGCGGCGTGGCTCTTCATCTCATCAGCGTCATGTGTCGCCCCACCCCCTTCGAGGTATGTCATGACTGCTACTCTAGGTTGGGGCTACTTGCTCCCTATTTTGTTGGTGGTCGCATTCGGTCAGATCGGCGAACGTTTGGCTTAGGCGTTCGGTTTGGAAGGATTTCTCCTTCAGATTTTACCATGGTGACACTGGCTGACGGCTCATACTGGCAGATTGCCGGATGCAACCTCCATTGTGTGTTTTGGCGGCTCTAGTACGCCTTCGACGGTGCAATGCAATCTATGCACAGTGTCTTGATGTTGAGGGGATGGTGGAGTAGCGGCTTGGTGGGTTTTCTAGACCAATGCATGTAGCTATTGGGATCATGGAAAATTGATGGCGACAACACATGATTGACTTAAATGTGGTGGTGCTTTTCGAGTACCCGATGTCGAGCTCTGGGGTGAAAATCCTAGGTATGACCCTTGTTGGTTATACATGACAATGACCATGTTTTGTGTCATGACCTTGTTAAAGGCATTGCTCGGATATGCTCGGACTTGTTCTTTAGGGTGAAACCTATATTATGACCTTTGATGGTTGGATCCGGTGATGGTGACAGTTGAGCGTCGTTCCCTTCTTGAAGGCGTTGCAGTTGAAGAGCCTCGTAGCCCTTGGGTGTCAAGACATGATTGGTGTGGGATATGGTCATTGTTGTGGTTTCTTGATCGCTATGTATTTTTTCCATGCTAAGGCATAACTTTGATCTTGTATGACTTTGCTATTTGTCAGCGTGTTTACTTGTGTGTGTTTGTGGTGATTGTGTGTACCCTAACCATGCAGAAGTCGGGTGTTTGCTCATTGTGTTTTATCCACTTGATACTTCATTTGAGTAAATAAAATCCATCCATTGAAAAAGAAAATTGGCCAAAAAACACTATTTAAGTTGCTGCAAAATTGTAATTTTAAAAACTTTCAAAGTTTACATAACAGGTTTTGTTTTTCAAAAGTGGCTATAGGGATAAGGTGTCACTAGCATTTTCTTGGTGGAAATCTACTTAGTTGTTATCCTGCCTTGTAATGAAATATCTGCTACTCCCTCCGTAAAGAAATATAAGAGCGTTTAGATCACTACTAAAGTGGGAGTACTTTTGTATGGCTACTGCCTACGAGTGGTGTTTCTGAGGACCAGTTCTTTTGAGTCGTGGCTTGTGCAAAAATGGCTCCTCCATAGCTGTGGGGAGAAGTTCCAGGGGAAATTAAGCTCTTGAGAAGCTTGCCAATTCTTTTTTGCTTTTGTCCTTTTAGCTTATTTTATGATTATCCCGCTAAAAAGTAATAAGTGTTCAGCTGATTCAAATTTTGATCGAAAAAACAAAAAAACTTATGGATTGAATGATTTCGACAAGTGAAATCGACTCGGATAATATCCTTGAATTGCTTAGAGAAATTGCAACCGGAGGAAGGAGCCGCCGACCTTTGAGGCGACGGAGGAGGTGGGGGATTGTGGATGCGACAAAGGACAAGATGTCAGAGGGCGATGATGTCATGCACCATCCTTCTTCCATTGAGGTGAGGGACTGTCGGTGAGGAACCCTAGGTTCTAGCACAATGCATTTTCCTCCGAGGCCGGCTAGTGCGGGATACAAGGAGAGAGGCATGAGCACAACGTAGTGCTTTTTGGTGCAACAGAGTGTTATTCTCTCGAGTGGCATTCTCATTGTTATTTTTGTAAAACTATGAAGGCAGAGAAATTTAGCACTTTGAAATTTTAAGTGGAGACGTTCAGAGTGTACCTTTCAACTGTATAGGAAGGAGCGGTAGGGAGAAACTAGCACAAAATCGAATTCTTTTGTGCTAGAGCTTAAATCCTGTTATAAGCTACCAATATGCTCTTGTCGCAAACTAAGTCATGTGTTCCAGTTTCGGTTGAATTAAAAACATAATCAACAAAAATATTTTTTAAGGCCCTGGATTCTCTATTCTTGAATAGTTGCAACCCAGTGCCTACTTTTCCTAAGTATCCACACCAAGAGGTTATGCATGCCGGCCACGTCATCACATGCCATCTCATGCATGTGGTGTGGAGAATTGATTAAACTCAATACTACACATTGCTTATTGGTATTTGGATTAAAAAGTGAAAAAGAAGAAGTGGAAAAGACACAACACAAAATATATATTGCAATTATCTTAACACAATTTGTATTTGCGGTGCGGTAACGATGTTTCATAGATACATGACCCGAGCTTCCCCGCAACAACGCACGAGAAATCATCTTATTTATATTATAAAGGACATTCAATATTAGAAGACATCATAAAAACAAGTAAGTTACATCTAGGTTTTCAGAGTGTCAAACAACCTCAATCTCCATCATAAGCTGAAGGCATGCCGCCACCGCCGCTCCGCTGCTGGAGTCGGCCTAATATTGGACTAATGCCTCGGAGAAGAAGCCGCCATCGTAGAATCCTTTTGTAGATATTCAAACTATCTCCTAAACAAAACTTTCGCCAGCTTCGCAACGACGACGACAGAGAGAACGCCATTGCATGCGAGAAGGAGCATGACCTGCACACAAGTGGATAGCACAATCTGTCATGTTAGAGAGACACCCAAATGAAGAAAAGGAGGCCATAGTCTCGTGGCTACCACAAAAACGGCCAGGGAAACACCTCTCGACCCCCACGTGTCAACTCTTTTCTGATGACGCCTTAGGTTGTCCGCAACACCACCACCTCAAGAAGCGAAAAAAGAGGTCCGTCCTGACGTGAACGCCATGACACACAAAAGCACCAGTCCAGATTTGTAGGACCCGAGACAGAGCAGACTCTGCCTCCTAGATCCAACACTGATAGTGGCGAGAACAACTGTATCGAAAGGAGATCTAACGAAAACACATTCGCTGCCACCATTGCCACCGTCGGAGTCGGAACCATGAACAATCAAAACCCTACCCCATACTACTGGACACACACGGAATAAGGTATCCCGATTCCCCTCCCTCCCGTTGTCACTTGAGCAGTCGGCGGATATGAGGGAACCCCAATAACGCAGGTGTCGAGGTTGCTTTCTCTCTCCTCTCTCTACATTGGTTCCGCGCGGCTAGGGCTGGTTGTTTTTTTATAAAGGAAAAAAATATGTACCCCGATTACGACAGAATCTGGCCCCTTCCACGCTATGGATTTGTATACACCACATTTCGTAATCTGTCACAAAAATTTGTTTGGTTAAACTAACAATTAAGTAGTCCAAAGCTAGCTAGACGATTGACATCATCATATTCCACCAAACAGGGATTTCATTCGCCGGTAAGCCATTTCAGTTTCCACCTTGTTTTCTTCGTCTTTTACCACTTATTACTGCTGCTTTGCAAGAGGCGTCGAAGCACATGAAACTTGACTATCAAGTTTCTACCCAAGAACTTGGCTCCCAAGCCAGTGCTTTTGTTCAAAACAACGGTCGATTTTGTGGCATAATGGAAATTTCTCCCTACGTCCGCATCTTTCGCCAAGTTTAAGCCGCAAAACCTCCGCGCGCTAAAACTTGGATCCCACGAACTCTAGACGAGGTTCAAAGCTCCAAAGCATTCCGCCCCGTCTGATCCCGCCTCTACTTCGAATCCGCCCAAATCGAAAAAATCGCAGTGGTTCTTCTTAATCGCAGCAGCCCGCACCGGCTGCCGTGGTGGTTGCTGCGGCGGCGGGGAGCTCGCGCCCGAGGGCCCGATCCGCGCCATGGAGGAGGTGAGCAGCTTCTCCCCCGCCCCCTCCCCTCGACCTTTTCGTATCGCGTTGGTTGCTGGTCGCGCAGCCCCAGCTTGTGTCTTGGGATCGCTTTTTATTCCGCGGAATTTTGGTTTTGGGGTGTTCTAGTACGGATTTGGGGGTTGTTGGGTGTCATCATCTATGATCAGTGGGGTTAGGTGACGGTGATTTCTAGGAATGTGGCATGTATTTTCCCTTGGCCTTTGCGCAATCGCTGAAATACCTTCTGTTTGGCTTGTTTGTCTGAACTGTTTCGTTTACTGCACATGCAGCCGCTTGATGAGAAGGATTTGGAAAGGAAGCTGAAGAAAGAGCAGAAGGTGCTTGTTCTAATCTGGTTCTGTGCTCTTCACGATGGAGTAGGAGAATACTGTAGTCGAATTGTTTCGTGTGTGAGCAGTTTTACTCACAGGTGATCTTTGTTCTGTGACAGGCGAAAGAGAAGGAGGAGAAGAAGCTCAAGGCGAAGCAGAAGGAGGCGGCCAGGCTACAGGTGGCGACCGGCGACGCCAACTCATTTCTTGATTTGAAGGAGAGGTTCTGTTTGACTGATGTGATTGTCTGTAGGTCCAATCAGCATCTGATGGAGCTAACAAGAGTGAGAAGAAGCAAAAGAAGAAAGGCGCCACCAATGAGAATCCTGAGGATTTCATTGATCCAGATACTCCCACTGGACAGAAGAAACTGATTGCTTCTCAAATGGCCAAACATTACAGCCCGTCTGCTGTTGAGAAATCGTATGTTGCCTTTCTCACTTTAGTTGAATCATGCCATGAAAGCTTTTGGAGTCCATGGTCAGAAATTTCTCACTGAACTATGTATTTTCCTTTTCTTACTGTCATGCAGGTGGTATCCTTGGTGGGAGTCATCACAGTATTTTGTAGCAGATGCCGCAAGCTCAAAGCCACCGTTTGTAATAGTAAGTCCCTCCATGACCCAAATGGTAAATGCTTATATTCAGAATAAGCATCTGCTTGCGATTGCTATGTGAATTGCTCACCAGATGATTTCAAACTGTAAATGTTAGATAGAACATGTACAAATGAGGATTTATTGCTGTGAATGACCAGAACTGAATACTTATTTGCAGGTCCTGCCACCTCCAAATGTGACAGGACCCCTTCACATAGGCCATGCAATTACAGTGGCAATTGAGGTAGTGATTTTATCTGTACTGGTGCCCTTCCGTTCGCCCCTATCAGTATTGGTGGCGTTGATGTTCTTTTGTTTCTTTGCATTGACAACAATGCAGGATGCTATGATCCGCTGGCGGAGGATGTCAGGCTACAATGCTTTGTGGATTCCTGGAATGGATCATGCTGGTATAGCTACACAGGTCTGCTATGCTTCATGTTGTCTGATAAGTGATACACTCCAGTGCATAGGACATATATACTGGGTCCAAGGCCCCAGTATCTATCTTCTGCACAAGTTATATTTTCGTAGTTGTTCATGGCCTAGTATTATTAGCCTGAGTTCAAATTGACGTCTACTCAAAAGTTATGTTGATCATTGAGTCTTATCTGACTGATCCATTGTTACTATTTCTTACTGTAGCAAGTGTTTCATCTAACAAAATTGTTAACCTCCATATCAGGTCGTTGTGGAAAAGAAGATCATGCGTGAGAGGAAGCTGTCAAGGCATGATCTAGGGCGTGATAAATTTCTATCTGAGGCAAGCACTCTGATTTCTGACCCACTGTATATCATCTCACCTGTAATGAACTCATGTTTTTTAAAGGAGTAGATAATCATATTCATAAATGATTTTTCTTGCATTTAGTCATCTGTTATGTATTTTGCTCAATTCAAGGGAAAGGTCCCTAGATACCATTACAAAATTCTGCACAAAGGTAGTTCATATGCCAATGAATGAACTAAAATTTTACAGTGCCATGAAATGAGTTGCCCTGTTAATTTAATTGATTGAGACAATTTTTTGGTTCAGTGCCAGCCCATACTTTGCTATGCTGGTTGATTTTCACATTTACTCATTCAATGTATAAATCATCATTTTTTGCAGGTCCACAACTGGAAAGATCAGTATGGTGGCACCATATTGAGACAATTGCGTACGCTTGGAGCCTCGCTTGACTGGTCGCGCGAAGTAAAGTCCTTGTTCGATTCCTCCATTGCTATAGCTAGGGAAAGCAACATTTGTGTCTAAACAATGCATAGTTTTTCAGTGTTTTACAATGGATGAGCAGAGATCAGAGGCTGTAACAGAAGCGTTTGTTAGGCTATACAAGGAAGGTTTGATATATAGGTTAGTTTTCCATACAGAATGTGCACTCTTTTTTGTATCTTGTTCTGCTGAGCTTATGTGTTTGCTCATCTTATGTTGTTTGGAATCCTCTAAATTACTTTATTACCTCTTGGATGATTCATCCATTTGCAGGGATATTCGTCTCGTGAACTGGGATTGCACGCTCCGTACAACAATTTCTGATATCGAGGTATGTGAGGCATGCACTTTTGCAGTGTGCTAGCCAGTTTGGTTATTTGCATGTGTGAGCAGGAATGCAGGGTTGTATCTTATATTTCGATTGCTGGTTTTCAGGTTGACCGTGTTGATCTCAAGGCAGAGACTTTGTTAGAGGTCCCTGGTTATAGCAACCCAGTTCAGTTTGGTGTTTTGACATCTTTTGCCTATCCTCTAGAAGAAGGATTGGGTGAAATTATCGTTGCAACAACTAGAATAGAAACTATGCTCGGTGATACCGCTATAGCTGTTCATTCTCAGGATGAAAGATATAAGCATCTGCATGGAAAATATGCCGTCCATCCGTTTAATGGCCGAAAACTTGAAATAATTTGCGCTGATGACTTAGTGAAAGCCACTTTTGGTACTGGCGCTGTCAAGGTAGGTGTGCCCATCTAAAGAGCTGGTTTGGAGCTTTGGATACCTTTACATTCAGAAATCAGTGCCCATTCTTATCTCTATCTTTCTATATGCAGATCACACCAGCTCATGATAGCAAGGACTTCAAGGTTGGGAAACAGCATAACCTGGACTTTATCAATATTTTCACTGATGACGGGAACATAAATGAAAATGGAGGTCCACAATTTGAAGGAATGCCACGTTTTACCGCTCGAGCTGCTGTTATTGATGCACTAAAGGAAAAGGTATTATTATAGTTTCAGTGTTTACCATTTTTCCTTTAGAACTGATTCTGGTTCGTTCATGTAGTTGTATCTAATTTATTGCTTATCCTCAATGTTTTTGGAAAAGGTTCATCAATGTATTGTCATAATGGAATAAAAACTTCTAATTCGAAAAGGTATCATAGTTCTATACTGTTGACTTCTAAAAGCATCTAGAGTCGTCTTGGATGTGATTCGGTTTCTTTGAATTTTGCTAATTTATGGAGTGTAAATTTAGTTATATTTGTATGAGCAACAAAATTGTTTTTTTTATGTTTCTTGGTTTTCCTAATTATATTTGGATCGTGAGCCATTTGGCAGGTATGGAAGTATTACGTTGACATTTTTACATTAGAAATATAGTATTCCGTATTTTGATTTGCATACTATGTGTGGTATATACGTATATGCATAGCTGGCTCTGCTCAAGCTTTTGGCCTCCCTTTTCGATCTGGCATTGTCGTAATATATGAGAACTCTATTTCCTTCGCACTATACTGGATACCTGTGTGAAGATGGCTGATTAAGTTGTTTGTTTGATTTAAAGTTTGATCTTGTGTTACTTATCCTTCTTTGTCGCTTATCTTTTTTCGTAATGTATTGTTTTAGTAATATCTAAATTATAATCAATTTGCACTTGTCAATAAATGAAGGGTCTATACAGAGGCATGGAAAATAATGATATGGAATTAGGACGTTGTTCGAGAACTAATGATATTGTGGAGCCAATGATCAAGCCCCAATGGTTTGTTAATTGTAATACCATGGCAAAGGCAGCTCTTGATGCTGTGAAATCCAAAGAGATAGAGATCATTCCACCACAATATGAGCAAGACTGGTACAGGTACATCCTATTTGCTTTACTTTAGGCATGCACCTTTCCTATGGATCAGTTTTACGCTAACAAAAAACGAATAATCCATCCACTACTGTTGTTCTGTGTGCTGCAGGTGGCTTGAAAACATACGCGATTGGTGTATTTCAAGACAACTTTGGTGGGGACACCGTGTACCTGCTTGGTATGTGACATTAGAAGATGACAAAGAGAAAGACATGGGTTCGTACATTGACCACTGGATAATCGCAAGAAATAAAAGTGATGCAGTACTGGAGGCAAAACAGAGGTACCCAAAGAAGAAATATCAGTTGGATCAAGATCCTGATGTGTTGGACACATGGTTTTCAGCTGGTCTTTTCCCCCTAACTGTACTTGGTTGGCCGGACAATACAGCTGACCTTAGTACTTTCTACCCTACTTCTGTACTTGAAACTGGATTGGACATCCTCTTCTTTTGGGTAGCAAGGATGGTGATGATGGGAATGCTACTCCACGGTGATGTGCCATTTCGAAAGGTAATATGTAGGTTTCAGTTTTATTAGATAGTTCCGGATCCAATTTATGCAATCACAGTTTTGCCAAATGGTTGTCTTGTCAGTAGCTATTATGTGCTTTGCTCCTGTACTGTAGAACCACTCTCTGGGCAGAAGCCTGCTTACGTTTAACTTGGTGATCTGTGACTGCTACAACAACAAAAAATTATTATCGCTGTTGGGGGTTCTGCCCATGACCCAATCTTGTGCCATTTATTTATCTTGTCTTTCACTTATTTCCACCTTAATAATGTCTAAATTGACATGTTCTTATATATTTTTTTCTGACAAAAAGTTTATATATATATTTTGCTGCACCTATACGTCACATTATCTACTTACAAGCAGTGCATTTCAGTATGTCACATAGCATTGAAATAAACGATGATGACCTAGGTTACTATCCTAATGATGGCAACTTCCACTGGAAGTGAAGCACACCAATTCTTTAGGGAGCTTTTTTTTAGAATCAATTCTGTAGGTAATTGAAAATTCCCAATTAGTTGATAAACCTTGCGTCATGACTATCTTATCTGTTTCTCAGATTTACTTGCATCCAATTATTCGTGATGCACATGGCCGCAAAATGTCCAAGTCACTAGGAAATGTCATTGATCCCATTGATGTAATAAATGGTATAACACTGGAAGGTCTTCAGAAAAAGTTGGAACACGGCAATCTGGACCAAGGCGAATTGGAAAAGGCAAAAGAAGGTCAAAAGAAGGATTTCCCTGATGGTATTCCTGAGTGTGGTACTGACGCCCTTCGTTTTGCTCTGATCTCCTACACTTCTCAGGTTATTCTTATTGCTAGTTTTCCCCATTTCTCTGATTATTTTTATTGCAAACCTCTAGTACTAAAATTTCTCATTTTTTACCAGTCCGACAAGATAAACCTGGATATCAAGCGAGTGCATGGGTACAGACAATGGTGCAATAAACTGTGGAACGCCATTCGTTTTGCGATGGTTAAGCTTGGAGATCAGTACACTCCACCAGCAACTCTCGCGGTGCATAGTATGCCGCCCATCTGCAAATGGATACTCTCAGTACTTAGTAAGGCTGTTGGCAAGACCGTGTCATCATTAGAAGCATATAAGTTCTCCGACGCGACGTCATCTATATACTTCTGGTGGCAATACCAGCTTTGTGATGTCTTTATAGAAGCAATTAAACCTTACTTCAATGGATCTCAAGAGTTCGAATCTGCAAGATGTGCTTCTAGAGATACACTATGGGCATGCCTGGACACTGGTTTGCGTCTTCTCCATCCATTGATGCCTTACATAACAGAAGAGCTTTGGCAGCGCCTTCCTCAGCCTAAGGAGGCTTGTAGGAAAGATTCCATTATGATATCAGAATACCCCTCAGCTGTACAGGTAAACATTTCTTTTCAGGACAACTTAGGAATGAACCAGAGGATTTGATCTTCTAGTTACTATTTTTCGAGAATGGTACTGTAGAGCCTAATGTGCAGGATTAACAAGAAGCTACTCTATAATGAATATATGCAAAAAAAAAATGCAAAGAAAAAGTTAGTGTGTTACCTCAATTTGAGAAATCCTAAGTTGAAGCAAAATTGTACCCCACAATACAATTTTGTTATCACTACTTGTACCTGAGAAGTTTCCTGCGATGACAGGAATGGGCAAATGATGAAGTTGAGAACGAAATGGAGATTGTGTTAGATGCCGTGAGTAAGCTGAGATCTCTCCTGCCACCAACAGATATACATCTAAGGTGTGTTTCTGTTCAGTGTTCACCTAATAGATTCTTTTGAGTTTCACACAGTATGACAGATGCTATGCTCAAATATAAAATTGCCATTTTATTTTAGTCTTGGTTCATAAGAACTTTGCTCCTTTCTAGCCGATACCTTATTTGTATTTTCACCTCAACAGGCGCCCATGTTTTGTGCTCTGCCGAAACCTAGAGGTTGCAGCCACTGTTGGATGCTACCAAGCTCAAATTGCAACGCTTGCTTCTGTATCATCTCTTGAGGTTTGACAGATCATCCGACCTCTATGCTTATCTCTGTCTTTTTTTTGCACTTTCTTCGCCTTTTAAGGCTTAAAAATTCCCTTTGGAAGGAAGATGAAAACCTATGTACCACAAGTAACCATATACTCCGATGATGTATGCCTTGCTCTTGCTGTATGCACATTTCCTATTTCAACACACCTTACTCTGTCAGTACATAAAATTCTAGTAACTCATTGAAGGTCTTCGGCCTGCATGTATCAATTTCAGATCCTCACAGTAAAATTCCAATTCAAAATTGATACATGATACATGCACCTAACTACAAAAAGCAAAGTTCTGACCCAAGTGGCAATTTTCCAGATCCTGACAGAGGATGATCCAACTCCACCCGATTGTGCCACAAATATTGTAAACAAAGATCTAGCCGTTTATCTCCAGCTCCGGCGAGCTCTCAACACGGAAGCTGAACATGAGAAGCTTAGGAAGAAGAGAGAGGAAGTTCAAAAGTAAGTGCAGTTATGCTACTGTTAAATTAGCTAATCCACTAATTATGTTCATATTGGTTGGTCTTTTGTGTTTTGAACTTCTTTTGGTTTTCTTTATCTTTAAGTAGTAACATGCTCCGCTTTCCATCACCAATGCAGGCAATATGACACCCTGTCACAGAAAATGAGTGCATCAGGCTACCGTGAGAAGGCCCCACAGAGCAAGCAGGATGATGATATGAAAAAACTTGCTACTCTGTTGGAGGAGCTCGAGATCATCAGCGAAGCTGAGAGTAAACTGGATGCAAAAAACTGACAAATTTTTTGTGACTCAATCTTTTGAAAGCCTGCAAATATGATTGACATGCATCTAGATGGACGATCCTCGGCACCCTGTACAATCACTCCCACAGTTGTCACTGTTTGTAAAAAGCCTCGTCCAAGCAATTTTGGATATGTTAGCACATGTAACGTGACATGCATCTAGATGGATCATCCTCATCACCTGATACACTCAACACCCCCCATAGTTGCGTTGTGAAGGCTCACTGTTTGTAAAAAGCCTCGTACAAGTTTATATATATATATATATACCTTAGTATGTGTGACATGGGTGTGCTTAGGGTCCTCATTTTATGCATTTTCAAAATTTCAGTTTGATTTGTGTCCATTTCATATTCGTGGCATTTTCCGATTACTGTGGAGTGTGGTGGACTCTTTGATTGGTGAGGTGAGAGAATTAGTGCTTTGCCAAAAATAAAACTGTTTCCTCTTCACGCAACGGGCACATAAAATAGTACTCCCTCTGTTCGGAATTACTTGTCATCAAAATGAATGTATCTAGAACTAAAATACATCTAGATACATCCATTTTAATGACAAGTATTTCCGAACGGAGGGAGTATCTGTTAAGTGCTTTGCAGGCTAATACTCCCTCCGTTCGGAATTACTTGTCACAAAAATGGATAAAGATATATGTATCTACAATTAAAATACATCTAGATACATTCATTTCTTGTACGAGTAATTCCGAACGGAGGGAGTACATGACAGTAAAATTCATAAACTCTATATTACGCGGAATCATTAGGAAATATCATAAATTCCTAAGTTCCAGAAAGCTCAGAATCGTACATTGCAGGGATAAGATTGTAACACGATGGGTCAAGTCATCTGCCTGTCCTAGCTTTGTATCTTCAGCCAAATAACCAAACTGCACCAAGTAATATTGTACACTGATTGATACGCGTCAGTTCATCCATTCTCAGTGAAAAGGTGCACATTTCTGCGATGATTGTCTGCTCCCTGTGATCGTCAAGGAGCTGCAATGAACCCTCCACTAACAGTTCTTTTCAGGGCATCAACATAAGGTAAAATCATCTGAACATCAGGTCCATAATAAAGTGAAAATATCGCCTCTGCCTGGGTGAATGTAGCTGCTGCACTTGCCCTGTCCCCCAGAGACAGCTCGATGGAAACAAGCTTGATCAACTCATGCGCAATGGCTATGTGTTTGGGGTGGTACAGCTTCTCAAGGATCTGCATTATCATAAGATGCACTTCAGAAACAGTAAAAAATAATCAAAAGTGGGTTATGTGAAGCTGTAATTGATTAGTCCAAAAGTGTGGTCATATCATCATCTGGAGCCTAGCTGATAATTTGACTACTGCTTGTCGGAAAAGTGAGCACAATGGATCCCGAGAATACAAGGGCTCAAGATCAAAGTACATTTCTCCCCTTGTATTTCTCAGTAGGCGAGTTGGAGATTTGAGCGATGATTGAGGTGACTACCTTAATTGATGCTTCGCAGTGCTTTCTTGCTTGTTCTTGATCTCCTATCTTTGCAAAGGCTTCTGCAATCGCATCTTCTGCCTGCATGTATCAATTTCGAAACATATGTTTCAACAGTGTGTCAGGAGAATTTGGAGCCAAATTTCTATCAAGGCATGTAACATGAGCACCCTAACCTGGGCAAGAGCCTTGCTATATGGGTGCCTCAACTTCTTTATCTGTTGTAGGGATCTTAATGCATCTGTGATGGGAATTTCGGAGATTTCGTCTATAACTGCAAGTTCCTTAAACCTGTGAATTGAATTGTTATCCGACTTTGCTATGATTAAAAATTCACTGATGGAAGATGCAACCAAATTTAGATATGCCACATTCATTAATACATAACATACCTATTGATCATTGATGCTGCCTTCTCTGATGTAGCAACAGCAGAAGACAAGTTAATTTGTGATCTACAGCTCATGCAATATCCAGGATCTATCTTCAAATCAACATTATTTCTGAAAAACAATTTCCCAACCTTCTCTATATCTTCATCAACCTTGGAAACATGCTGAACAAAAAGAATTTCAGACTGATGCCACCAAACTAACTATTAGAAAATTTCGGGAGGGAAAAATCATCTTACAGGCAATGATAGTTTGCAGATATCAGATTCATCTACGGAAACATGCACACAATTCTCTTCGGATTTGTAGCAAGTTGATTCTGATACGGCACCAAGACAGCTACTTTGTGGACAACAAAATGAATCAATGACAAGATCCGATAGATGTAGCTCTGAACAACTTGAACACTGGCAAGTAAATTTGTAATTCTCCTGAAGTGACTTTTGTCTTTTCACAAGATTCATCTCACCAGCCTAGAAATGAGAAGCACAAACAGTGCAAAGCATAAATTCATAGTTACTTTTAAGTATGTCACACATGCATATACAAGAGAGGGAGGATGGGAGAGACCTGTGGACCATATGATAGCTCGACTGGGCTCCCTGAATTTATATATGTGGTAGATCTTAGAAAGAGAGTGCGCGAATGAAAATATGCATGTACATTTGGCCGGCACGAGTGATTAAAGAGGCTACCAGACATGTAGATAGCTTGAGCAACCTTGACCTAGCAGTAAGCAAAAACAAACACAGGTTACAGATGGTAAAGAGACTAAATGAGCATCAGACGCAGAAGCCACATAAAGCAAAGTAGACAACGCCATGCATTCTATACCAACCCAACAGTGTAATGTAGTGCGATTTAGAGGTACCTACTTGACATACCAAGCTATAACTTCAACATTTCACTCATTTTCTCAAGTTTATGAATTTAAACATCTTATCGTCTTTCTCCTGGATCTTATCAAGTTTTTTTACTTTCAGGATAACACCGCGTGCTTAAGAAGTGTACTAATATCTAAAGGTCAGAGGATAAATCAATAATAAGACGCATCTGAATAGTAGGCAATATATATTCCTCAATTTTTATAGGATGGTGTATTGATCCCAGAAAAGAAAAGGGAGTAGAAGACAAACCTGCTCCACACTACACATAACTGCATCATCAGCTGCAGAATACCCTTTACTCTCTGTCAGTCCCTGGCCTCCATCCATGGATTTCATACAAACAATAGCAATCGAATTGACTTTAACTTGACATATCAAAAGAACCAGCTGTACAAGATCAAAGAATGCTTATTAACCCCTGCTGACATATCAAAGCAATACCCATGTACGCAAGGGGAAACTCAAAAAATAAGTCACATATACCTGGGATAAAGTTTCCTCTTTCCACGAAAGATCTGATCTATAATGCTTTTGGAGGCATAATAACAAGACAATCGCATATATATGTGATTCCAACTTGCTAGTAGGAGAATCTACGTCATAGTGCTGAATGAGATCCTGCAATGGCCATTTTAGCCCATTAGTTCCCGG